AAAAAAAAAAAAAAAAAAAAAAAAAAAAAAAAAAAAGACAAAGAGAAAGAAAGCTGGTATTCTTATAAAAACCGATGGTCGATGTCGCATCAAGCAAGAACGCCGTATATTTCGAGCCAAAACCACGACGAGGCTCACGGACGGAATATACCTAGCAGATTGTAAGCACAAGAATTCAACCTAGGAAAGGTTTGAGGACAGATGAAGCTTACCAGCAAACGATTGTATCCCAACTGGAGTTTGTCCACCTCCCAAGCTCCGGGCTGGCAGAGGAACCTGGCCAATGGAACCGGGTATATCAATCCTGCGGAAGAGCTCCACTAATCTCTCCGGTGAGAAACGACCGGCATTATAGGTAGACGCCGGGGGAATGGCACTAAGAAGGTTCACAATCTCCCGAGGGAGTGGCGCAGGTGATCCTTGAGACCTGAACTGAGGTCCAAGGCCACCGTTGACTTGCTGGGGACGTTTTTGTTGATCTAACCGCCGTCCTTGAACAGCCTTAAGTGGCGATTCCGCCCGGATGAACTTGCGCGGCCGACCTAAGTCGTCGTCCAAGTCTTCCAGTGGCCTCTTCGGGGAGTTTGTTGAAGGTGCTTCCGGATGCCTCGGAGGAGTGCCTTGGCGAGACGTCGATGGTTCTGCAGCAGGGTACACTGCCTTGGGACGGGCCTGAGACGGGGAGATTATAGGTCGCACAGCAGTGGGATCGAACGATGGGGTAGAATAACGATGAGCAAATTGTTCCAAGGTGGGATCCTCAGGAAACAGCTCGCGCATTCGGTTCTCAAGGTTGATCACTTGGATGAGATCACCATACCGGGATTCGTACTCATGAAGGAACGCAAATATAGGTTTCGTCTTGTGGACATTGTCGGGATTCGATGCCAATTTTCGTACTGTCATTTCAAACACCGCTCTCGCGTCTAGAAGGAAAGTTAGCATTCTTGTCTCAAGAAGGTCAGCAAGTCGACTTACTAATGACATCATTGATATCAATCAAATGCTTGAGATATTCGAGGGCAAAGTTCTCATCCTCGGGGAATAGCTTTGCGCCTCGCTCGAAAATCTTGGTAGCGGCAGGATCCTTGTAGCAATGGTACTCGATGAGGGCACTGGCAATGTAAACATCACTAGAAATGCGGCCCCTCTTGCGAGCATCTGCAAAGATCTGTCTTGACCCAGGCGCCTCTCCCGGTTTACCCTTGCCTTGGACACGGCGCATCGCACGCATAAGAGCAATCCACGCGAAAGAGATGGTCCTGGAAAGAATACCAATCTGGACAGCATGGGCATTTTTGACGGCTCCAATTTGGGCGTTCTTCATTGACTCTCTTGCTTTCGCATCGCTTTGATCGTCATCATCATCTTCGATTTTCGACGGCTGCTTCTCGGGGTTGAATTCCGCAAACATCTTCTCCATGCGCTCAACGTCCAGAGCTTCGCGGGTGCGGGCTTTGGCGATTAAGTCGTAGAGCGCACCAAGGACCTGGTCATAAGGCTCCCTGACCTTGGCACCTCGCTTGATGGAATCTTGCTCGGACTCCGAAGTAATTTCCAGTCGGTCCGCACGCTTGAAAGCGAGCAGGCAGCTTTCCGGATTGGCTTCCATACCTTGCTTCAAGAAATCGGTCCCTTCAGTCTCCATATCATTGAGGAAACAGAACTCGGCTGCTTCAAACCACATCTCTGGCAAGAAACGGAGAGCCATGAGTGCTTGTTTGTAAACGTACACTACACGGTTCTTGAATGCAGCAGGATCGTCGTCTTTCAGAACAAGGGGATCACCCTTCTCCCATTGAACCCAACGCTTCCAGATATCGACCTGCTGTGCGAATTCGACATCACCTTCGGTGCCTGGGACAGGAGGCAGCCGCGGGAGTGTTGTGCGCACCAAATCCCGAGTAATATTCTGCAGCTCCGTGTACGAGCTTCTGGCGGTCATATACGCGGGCGATTGTTCTTGGAGGAATTTACGGCCCTAAAAGCATGGAGGATAATGCGTTAGAATCATGGCCGAATCAGAGACTAGAATTCACGTTACCGTAAGTTTGTTCAATCCCATCTCAAACTGGTCGTATTCCTTCCAAAGAGTGTTGACAGCCTGCGTAGGAACGCAAATGGCTCTTTGATATGCCTTACGAAGCAGGTCCATCTTTTGCTGGTCCTGCCATCCCGAGCCACCGACATTGCCAGGGCCAGAGCGTATGAATTGGACATAATCACTCCAGATAGACCCTGAATCCTTGTCCATTCCAACGTATTGTAGCGCTAGGTCGTACGCAGACGAAATGATCTTCCTTGCGTTTCCCGTCGTGTCCGTGGTCAATGGGTTACGTCGACGAACGTAATCCAAGTATACAGACCATAGTTGGGCGTCAGGAATGGTCAAAAGAGTCCTGTTGAATATCTGCTCGAGACGGAATAACTCGCTAATATCCGATTCCAGGTTGGCATAGGCCACCCATTGCTCGGCCTGCAACAGGTTAGCTCAGTCAATTGGTAAGAGGTTCGAATGGCAATTACTTACGGCAAACGGGAACACCTTCAAGAATCGTTCAAACACCTCGCGAGCGCCGTCAATCCTGCTGCGGCTTCTATGTTCATTGATCAATTCAAGCCATGCAGGAATGTCGCCTCGCGGGTCTTCCTGGATCCTGTCTTCCAAAATTCCCACCCGGTCGTGCGGTAAACGACCCTTGGCGGCTGACGGTGATTCAGGCGTGGGAGTAGGCGCAGCGCTTGCCTGCGCGCTGTCAGACTGCAACGCCTGTGAGCCGTACAGATTCTGACCAGCAGCGGTAGACGTATCATTATTGGGAGCAGAAGCAGCAACAGAAGGGTAAGAGCTATTAGGGGCATTTTGAAAAGTGGCAGATTCCTGTAATGATACATCAGGGGTAGAAGTAGATTGATTCACATTTCCTGAAACGGATTGCTGAGGCATGTTCACAGGAGGGATATTCATGTCTGCCTCAACACCAAGTACAGCCGGGGGTTCATAGTCTCCGTCACCCTTGTCCTCGTCCTCATCCTCATCATCATCCTCAACCACGAATCCGCCAATTGTCCTGGCCTTAGGCTGCGGTGCAGAGGCTGGGGTCTGGGACTCGGTTCGCGAAGGCGTCTCGGATGGGACAGTACCGCCAAGCTGCTGACTAGGGTTGGGTTCAGAGGGGGAAGGAGTCTGATGTTGGGGAGGATTGGAATCAGAGGGAGAAGGATCATTTGGAGAAACATTTTCACTTTGAGAAGCAGAATATTCATCTTGCAGTGTCTTTGAAGGATCATAATCATCTGAATCTGAACTATCTGCACCCTGCTCCTTAACAGTCTTTTCATAGTCCACAGAGTCCGCATTCATTGTCTGAGCCTGGAGAAAGGCCTTCTCAGCGTCATCTTCAGCCATGATAAGGCAAAAATGGGTTTCAATCGCAATGAAGCGGTCGGAACAGATAGATGGAACAGCGATGTATAATTAGGGTCCTGTCACATAGTAGCCAGCGAGTCAGTTACTGGCGTGGAACTTTTCGGGGGGTAGCTGTCGGTATCGCAGCGGGCAACGCACCTTAAAAAAACCTCAACAGCAACACCACCAAAAGAAACAAGTAAGCCAGAGCAAAATCAGTTCAAAATCACTTGATCAGGAAGCCTGTAAAGTGCGCCAAAAGAAGGAGTTGACTGGTGAGAGAGTACAGAGTAGTGATGGCTCTGATGATGGCTATGCTGTTAACCGCAGAAGCTTTGCAGCAGCAGTTTCCCACGTGACCAAGGCGGTGAGCGCGCAAATGCGTAGACCGCAACGCGAAAGCGGCGCGTCGCCGATCGTTGGGCGTCGTCGTTGTCTCGTTAACAGTTTTGATGCAGCTGTGCCTCCTTCCTTCCCTCCCTCCCTCTTTTATCTTCTTCTCTACGAATTCAACCTTTAATTTCCTGCACACTATCATTGACCAGGATTACCCTTTTTACGTATACCCTTAACTCGCCATGTCCGTCGTCTCTCTCCTTGGGGTTAAACTCCTCAACAACCCGGCTACGTTCCTTGCGCCGTATCAATTTGAGATCACTTTCGAGTGCCTGGAGCAGCTCCAAAAAGGTAAATAACATATTCCTTTGGTACGGAATTGCATCATGTTTTCTAACACCGCCTGCTTAGATCTGGAATGGAAACTCACCTATGTCGGTTCGGCAACTTCGTGAGTCGCCACGAAAAGCAAGCAATCCCACCCGGACTTTCACTGATTTTACTAGTTCTGAATACGATCAAGAATTGGATTCCGTGCTCGTCGGACCCATCCCCGTCGGTGTCAACAAGTTCATCTTCGAGGTTAACCCTCCGGACCTCAAACGGATCCCCGATTCCGACATCCTTGGAGTTACTGTGATCCTCCTCACCTGCAGCTACGATGGCAGAGAGTTCGTCCGTGTGGGATACTACGTGAACAATGAATATGATAGCGAGGAGCTTCGGGCGGAACCCCCTGCGAAGCCAATCATCGAACGGATCGCCCGAAACATCCTCGCTGAGAAGCCCCGTGTGACCAGATTCGCAATTAAGTGGTATGTTCTTTCGCGCTCTCTCTCCCTTTCAATTTCTTCAAAACTAATTTTTCTTGTCAGGGATTCCGAAGAGTCTGCTCCGGCGGAATACCCGCCCGACCAACCCGAGGCCGACAATTTGGATGATGACAGCAATGCCTACGGTGCTGAAGAGACCGAACTCGAAGCCGCTCTGTTTAAAGAACTCAAAGACACCGAGTCGCAAGGGCCCAAGGGCGAGGACCATGAAATGGAAGGCGCTGAACCTGCCGCTGGCGAGGAGGAAGAAATTTCTGACGGTGAGAGTGAGGATATCGAGGATGAAAGTGACGATGACGACGAGGAAGATGAGGAGGAGGGCGCTGATGGTGAAGAGGATATCGAGATGGGCGATGACTCGGAACAACACAAAGCGGCACCTGGACCTCAGCAGCAAGCCGACGTTATGGTCCACTAAGTCAGTGAGGTAGGAGGGGGATGTTTGTTTGTTTCATGATTTACGATTTGGTTTGCGACGTTTCATGACATCGGAACTGTCCCGAGCCTACTATATATTTTCTGGGCCGGCAGTATTATATACTTTATGAGATAGAAGGTATAATTTAAACATTGAGTAGTTACTTCTCTTTGGGACCTGAATACACCGTATTATCTAGGGATACGCGAAGTTTGATTGTGGCTGCAGCTACTATAAATATGCCGTGTAGCTGGTGATAATCATTGCGGTGTATACAGAGTACAAGGTAGTGAATCCATATGGACCAGTCATATTTTCTTCATGGGCTTCTTATTGTCAGCCAGTACAGCAATGGCATCTGCATAATTTAAATGGACTGTTGTCTAGAAACCCCAGGTAGCCGATGAATGAAGACCACACCTCACTCTACTGACAGTCACTTTTCATCGTCTCTCTAGAAGTCACTGGGATGAATTGAGCAAATACGACTCTCAGTCACTCCAAATCGACTACCAAAATCACCATCACCATTCACCTTCTAACCTACCCAAGACAACATGCCCGCATTCTCCTGCAACTACTAGTTTTCACCAGATGCCCGTCCCTGTCCATCAAGCGGCATCCACATCCCATTCACCAACCCGTAACCGACCTCCCATTCCCAATCCATATAACGACCTCATGCGGCAATTACCGGCGAGGTGACGAAGGAATTGGTGAAATATGAAGCGAGGGGTGTTGCGAAAGAATACGGATTTGGTACAGTTGTATGCGAGACGGGAGGAGGCGAAGAAGTTGTATAAGGGGAGGTTTGAGGGGACTTGGGAGGTGTAGGATAATATGTGGATTGGAAAGTATCGGACTCCGACGAAGTACCAGATTCCTTAGGTCTCTGGGAGTTTTGCTTCCTGCTTGTAAGTTTTATATTGGCCATCTTTAAAGCGCGACTGAATCAATCATATTAGAACTTAGATATATCAATTTCCGTAAGTAGCAAAGATACATTAATTCGGGCTTCTGAATCAGTCGTAACACATAAGCAATAGATACAACCAAGGGTATGCTGTAAACGAATAACTCCAAACCACGTAATCTACAATCTGACCTTCCCTCAACATCAGATTAGAATCCAAACTTCGAGCCCAGAGCTATACAGCACGGTCAGTAGAGCACGAGTATGGATCTGTACAAGAAACCTTACCTCCAAAAAGAGCTTTCTTCTTCTGGTTCTGGACGTATTTGTTGACATCGCGAGCCCAGCCGTTGCTGTTCTCCTCCAGCCGATCCATACTGTCACTAAAATTGCCAATTCGATCCGTACGCTCGTTAACTTGACGTTGCATATAGGACATGTAGCCTTCTTGGCTTCCTTGTGGTTCCTGGTTGGGCACAGCTCGTCCCTCTCTGGCAGCTCTGCGTCGCTCCTGTTCATCGAGTTTCATCTGCTCTTGCGTCCGCTTCGATGGTGGTCGCTCAGGGCCTCCGACTGTGGAGTTGTCAGCAAAGGGAAACTGGCTATTATCTCTAGGTGCACGTACTAAGGATATCCATATCAGCTGGAGAGATGTATTGGGTACCAGAAATCCACTGGACATTTGTAATGGTAGGTCGCAGAGGGGGGATTGCCTGTGGGTTAAAGAGCTGGTCTTCAGAAGGTTGCCTATAGCATAAAGTCAGCAACTTGGCGGCAAATATGACACGGTTAACGGTGTTGACGTACAATCCAGACCCAGAGCCCCAAACGTTGAATAATCCCACTTCAGAAGGAGTGGTCCAAACCAGGACGTTTCCGTTAGGAGCAATGACAGACTCCGACAGACGCCTCATATCAATAATGTGGCCAACACTGCTGCAGCCAATTTCCTTGAGAGCCGGAAGAGAGAACGCCCGAGCGTTGCCGTCCCCGAAAAGCCCAACAAGACTGTAACCTCGGCCTTCAGTCTTTACGACTGCCGCAGAGTCACACAAGTAGTCATCCCAAGACTTATGGGCTCCCTTGGACGTTGCAGGCTTGAATACCCTACAACCCGAAGCCGTCACACCAACCACAGCGCCGTTAATCGTTGCTCCATGACGTAGGCCCCCAACTGCATTTGGAGTAGCTAGAGCAAGACTGCCGACTTCCGCATCTATAGGAATAATCTTGATGACCTTATCGTCGAGCAACGTTGAACCGGAAAACTGAGCTGTGTAGGCTCCATCGCTTCCAGGTAGAACTTTGAATGTTGCTAGGTTTCCTCTATTGGTACCAACGAAGCAACAGATGCTTGAATAGTCTGGACGTAAGGAAGATCAGTATAAGCTCAATCTTAGTACGTATTACCATGGCCTGGCTCTTACCTTCTCCATCTAATGTCATCACGCCAAACTCGATGCTCGTGGGCCATTCTAGAGGAGACTCCTCGGGCGAGCGGGATTTAAACAAGCTACCTCGCTTGTTTGGCTTGAGGAGCTCTGTTAGATGCGCTGTATGAATAAGTGCTGGGCCACGCAAATCCATGATTGCCAGACTACCGCCTTCGAATCCGGCAGCAACAAACCCTACGTGGCTGTGTTTCAAAGCGGTCACCGGACCCTGCATCTCCAGGAGACCAAGTGGAAGGAGACCCGTTCTCAGTCCTGGATCAGTCCTGTGGTTGATCTTGGTAATTTTCCCCGGTCCAGCGTTGGTGCCAGAAGGCTCCTCCACGCCGTATTTCGCATTATTTCCCCATCTGAAGACTACCACCTCTCCGGTCTTAAGACCAACCGAAAGTTCGCCAGTCGTTGGGGCCATGGACATCTCCGTAACCTCGACGTTGCCCATACGGCCCACCGCACGAGCCAAGTCAACTTGGATTACCTCTCCATTCTCAATTTCATCATCATTGCCGGTATCCCACAGACGAATAGTCCCATCTGCATGAGCTGTCGTGATGATATTACGGTCTTCAAAGCGTTTGAGCGGCTTCTTTCCTTCGGCGCCACCAAGTAAAAATTTGGGGCCCTGTGACCTCTTCTCTTTCAAGCCGAACCAGGCTGAACGGTCCACCGTCGTTAGTGTGATCTTGTTCACAAACGGATGAACAAACGAGAGGAAGGGGTGAATCATATTCGTTGGCGTAATGGGGTGGCCACTGGGGAAGCTCATGGTAATTAGTTCTCCCGAGGACAGTAGCCCAATCACGGCGATGGGATCATGGCCACCAGAATAGTATGGCGAGGCGCGTGGAATGAGACAAAAATCGAGAATCTGCGCACCCGGAGGCGTGGGTATATTGATTTGTGCCTTTGGGTTCTCAAAGTAGCTCTCAAGCATCTGCCAGGTAGATGTTTGGTAGTTAGGGGTCGAGCCCAGATCCATGAAAGTAAAACCCTTCGGATCAGATGGTAGACGACCGCCAGCAATCAATAGGCCGCTGTCGTCCCCATTCTGTTTCACACACCACGCAATATGCGTGATGGGTTCTTTGAGCGCAGCAATACCACTCACTGACGGCGGCCTACCTGATTCGGTTCCGGGTTGGTCGATATCCAGATCTTGCATTGTCCTCGCTGCAATCTTGCGGCCGTCTTTCGAATCCCAGAGTACCAGACTATTATCGTCATGGACTGTCAACACGAAAGTTCCATTGGGATGCCACAGGGCTTTGGTCAATTTAGGCCTTCGCGGTTCTCGGTGAGGCACCTCGGAGTTTCCACCCAACGCACCTGGGGGCACTTCGTATTCGAAATATTTCTGTGGTGTGTTCTGCTTGAATGTGAATGTCACAGCCCCTTCCGGATATCCTACAAGTATCTTGCCGATGTCACGAGGTGAAAAGGATAGGGTGATAACAGGACAAAGCCGAGCCCGCGGGTTGTGCTGCGCCCAAAGGTTGGGGACCCTGAATGGCGTAAGAGTCTCGCGATCAAGGTCATAAGCGATGATGTCGCCTGTGTCATCCTATTAGCATGTACCCATTGTTATCACTTCAGAACTTTGTTTGCGCGCACCACTCTGAAGACCGATGAATGCATAATCCAGGCTGGGATCTGTCAACAGCGCTGTGACGTGACTCGGAGGAGCGTAGGTGACCAGGGTCTGTTTCGTCTCGAGAGAATATATGCCGATTTCATTCTTGGAATCGACGCTGATCAATTTATCGCCGCAGAACTGGATGAATTTCGCAGAGGCTTTCCGTGGAAATGTGAAGACAACCAGCACCCTTCGCTGGCCGAAGACATAGATTTGACCGCTCCCAAACTGAGTATCACTCGTTCCCACCGCAAGCAGGGACTGAACGGGATCGTACGCGAGCGCGCTGATTTGGGAGTTAATGCCACATCTCGCGAACTATATATCATCAAGGTCATCAGTCAGTAACAGCCCATAGAAGGGGAAAACAACCAATCGGTGTTCAGGGCCGCCAAGACATACATCATCGAGAACGAACAAGTCTGGGGACAATCCTTCAGACAAGTCCTTCTGAATACCAGCTTGTTTACCTCGTAGGAACTGGGCCATGACTATCTACAGACCTGGAGAAGAAAAAAGGGCATGAAGAGGGAGGAAGAGAAGAAGGAAAAGAGGGATGGGGGCCAACTGCAAGGCGGGACGTTTATTGCGGAGCGGAGAGATACTGCCGCCGCGGGAGATCGATCTTTGCCCCGCTATGATCTTTTCTGTCTTTTGGGTAATCTTTATATTTATTCTTACGGGGTACCCGTAGGATGTAGAGAGAGTAAAGAATTGAAGATCTAGCTGGCTTAATTGACCTTCCTGGATCAATAGGCACGAATCTCTACCAGGACAAGTACTGAGAGTCGCAATCACATGCTTGCAGGTATTCCAGGCAACAACAATAGTACGAGTATGGAAAGCTCTACGATACATTCTCAACGCCGGCCAAGAATCGTGCAAGTAACCAACGCAGCATTTCATAATCGTCACCCAGGCCACCTTCTCTCAAGACGAATCTGCAAGTGTCCAGATTCAGGGGCATTCATGCTGAAGGCGTATGTATAGTCGTTAAGTGCTATCGACTGTCGCCGCGCGTTTGAAACTCATTTCCCCAGTATTCTTCACATCTGACTTGAACATTGGGGATCAAAGTAGTTCCATGACAACGCATTGACCAATATATGATCATTATGGCTTCGATTCTGTTGTCTCAGATTCCTTCTTCTCAGACGCTTGCGGCTTTGGAGTTGGACTGTAAAGTTCAGCCAAATTGTAGCGCTTCAGTTGATCGTAATCGCCTCCGACGACGCTCATTCCCATGATGTTCTGCGATGACATTAGGCATGATGTCCAAAGTTGGAAAAGAAAACGACAGGTGCAGGGGGCCTTACTTGAATGACGGTGATCAAGATAAGCGCATCATAATTTTTGAGATCCACAGAGTGGTCATCACCAACAGCGCTTGCAATTGTCTTGATAACATTGTTTCGGTCGAACTTCGTGTTGCGGACTATAGAAGGGCGAATGGCAAACTGTGATTAACAGGTTAGCCCTTTCTCCTTGTTGCTCCATGTGCGGATTCAACAACATGGAGGCTCAACTCACCTTTTTGGGTGGTCCTCCAGAGTGGAAATGAGGCTCGAGAATCTCTTTTGCAAAAGCCTCCAAGTCAACACTAAGGGTCTTTTTCATCATAGCCATCGGCGTCATCCGTTGAATATAACGGCCTCGCTTCTTTTCAGGGTGTGCTTGAGCTTCAAGGCAGAGCTTGTGGACCATCTGCACAGGATCTATAGATTTATCAAATTTTATGAAAGCCACTGTAAATATTCCGTTAACACTGTTCCTGGACGGGGTGCTGTAGGACTATTAACATACCACATGGGACTTCCATTCTGATTGCTTGAAATTTGCGAGGCTTTCCTTTCCCAGGTTTTAACCCTTCGACTTCTCGTCTGATTTGCGCTTCGATGTCATCCTCGTTAGAGCTTGATTCTCCGTCATCATCTCCGCCGGCGGTTTCCTCGGCACTCTATCATATGTTAGACGAATCCAAGAAGAGCATAACTGTTTCCAGCATCAAACTAACCTGTGAAAAGATATCCAGTGCCTCTCTGATACATTTACTCTCCCGGCCCATATCACAGGTGACAAAGACGCCCCAGTCGCCGCTTTCGACGATGGCCCCTTTAGACTGCTGCTTCTGATATTTGGCGCCCCCTCCCTATCACGATATGAGTTTCTGATCAACAATACCGGGTGGGCTTATATAGATCCAATTGCATTATGCTCATGCTTCGGATCGAATGCGCACCTTTCTTCTCTTGGCGGATTGATTTGCGTCTCCGGGCATGGCTCTTTTTCCAGTTCCAGACATCCACGTTGTCTTTCTTTCTTCTAATAGATCTCAGAATCGGACACTCTCTAGTCCCGTAACTTTTTTGTTGCTCTAGTTGATGGAACAGCCGTCGTGGTGTTGATTTCAGTGTGTGCTGATTTTATCTTATCGCCAGAAATTCGGCGAATTCCTAATTGGGATTAGCGGGGGTGAGCATCCCCTCTGCGACACTCAGTACTTCCTTATGATACAAGTTCCTGCGCCATGGAAATCCAGCATAGCTTATCTAAAAAGCTTGACAGCAGTTCGTCGGAAAAGAAATCCATCCGGGGCGATCATACTAGTACATAGCAATGAAGCTGCTTGTTGCTACTGTAACCGGTCGTAGTATTCGCGGCAACGCATGACATCACGCACTTTTATCTCCATGACGTATCGCTCATGGGATTTTCTTGTTTTCCTTTATATCCAGCGAGTTCTCAGGTACTGCGGAAGTGAAAAGGCCCATCTCTCTCACTCTTCAGTCCAGTCTGCAAGCCTGGTCGATATATTTTACTTGCAATTGATCTCCGTTCACAATGGCTACGGATATTTACACAAGGGAGCTTCGTCAGCCCGTAGACGTTGCTGAATACTTGTTTCGACGACTGAAAGAGGTTGGCGTTCGCTCCGTTCACGGTGTCCCGGGTTAGTTGTCTGAACATTTATGGTCATTGTAGTAGTTACTAACCAAGCATGTCTCCAGGTGACTACAACCTTGTAGCGCTAGATTACCTGTCGAAATGCGGACTCCATTGGATCGGAAACTGCAATGAACTCAATGCAGGATACGCTGCGGATGGTTATGCCCGGGTTAACGGAATCGCAGCTCTAGTGACCACATTCGGTGTGGGTGAGCTGTCTGCGATTAACGCCATTGCAGGAGCATACTCGGAATTCGTGCCTATTGTTCATATTGTTGGCCAACCGCACACAAGGTCGCAGAAGGACGGAATGCTCCTCCATCATACGCTGGGAAATGGGGACTTCAACGTGTTTACCCGGATGAACGCTGAGCTCTCTTGCAGCGTTGCACGTTTAGACGACGCGCACGAAATAGCGACCCTCATAGACAATGCTATTCGAGAATGCTGGGTCCGGAGTCGCCCTGTATATATCACGCTCCCTACCGACGTGATTGTGAAGAAAATCGAGGGAGAGCGACTAAAGACGCCCATTGATCTCTCACTTCAAAAGAATGACCCCGAGAAAGAGGACTATGTCGTCGACGTCGTCCTGAAGTACCTACATGCCGCCAAGAAGCCAGTGATTCTGGTGGATGCTTGTGCTATTCGCCATCGAGTTCTTGAAGAAGTTCATGACCTGGTGAAGACATCTGGCCTCCCGACTTTTGTGGCCCCAATGGGTAAAGGAGCTGTGAGCGAGACACATCCGAACTACGGCGGAGTTTATGCAGGGAATGGATCCAATCAAGGTGTTAGAGAACAGGTCGAGTCGTCTGATCTTGTCCTGAGCATTGGTGCTATCAAGTCTGACTTTAACACGGCCGGATTCACATACCGCATTGGCCAGCTGAATACCATTGACTTCCATAGCACATATGTGCGAGTTCGCTACTCCGAATACCCAGAAACAAACATGAAGGGTGTCTTGAGGAAGGTGATCGAAAGGATGGGTGCTGTCAATACCGCACCAGTCCAGCCGATCACCAATGCTCTACCAAAGAATGAGAAGGGTTCGAAGCAGCAGTTGATCACTCATGCCTACTTATGGCCAATAGTCGGACAATGGTTGAAGGAAAACGACATCGTCATCACGGAGACAGGGACTGCAAACTTTGGTATCTGGGAGACTCGATTCCCGCCAGGTGTTACAGCTATCAGCCAAGTCCTCTGGGGTAGTATTGGTTACTCCGTTGGAGCTTGTCAGGGTGCGGCCGCCGCTGCAAAGGAGCAGAACAATCGTCGAACCATCCTATTTGTTGGTGACGGCAGTATCCAACTCACTCTGCAGGAAGTGAGCACCATTATTCGAAACAAGCTCAACCCAATAATGTAAGTCACGAGAATTGATTGTAATCGGCAAACACCGTTGGTGGATCCTCACTAACCCGCGAAATAGTTTCGTGATCTGCAACGAAGGCTACACTATCGAAAGATATATCCACGGATGGGAACAGAGTTACAACGATATTCAAGAATGGGACTTCGTGAACCTGCCCCCAGCATTTGGGGCAAAGGACAAATACAAGGGATACCGGGTCAAGACAAGGGACGAGCTCAACAAGCTCTTTGCAGACCAAGAATTCGCTTCATGCCCATATTTACAGGTTCGTTAGCTATCGAAAAATCGCCATGACTCGATCAGACTTGCTAATCAAATCCACAGCTGGTCGAAATCCACATGCCTCGCGAAGATGCCCCGGCGCCTCTGAAATTGACGGCGGAAGCGGCCGCCGCGAGAAACAAATAAGGACAACATTTCACGTTGATTCTTGAGGGAAATTTCACTTTTTCTTGTATTAATGATATAGATAATTTATCAATCAAATAGAGATTGTGAAAAGTTTTATAATGTTTCAGTGAAAAAGGGAAGACGTTAATGCACGTCGACTAATTCTCCGTGACTTCCGGAATCTTGGGCATAATTCGGAGATTAGAGAGGCACGGGGACATAAAAGTTAGAAGAGAACGGTTTCCGAACGTCAATCCTTAATCAGGTTAATGGAGGTGTGCTACAACCAAATAGTTTTGGGTAGTCTCCTGGTGTGCGGCGACTATGGACGGTTTTCCGAGTGTACACGTAGTAAAACCCTGCATGAAGAAGTGTCAAACGGGGTGTTGCCGAATGTCTGATTCAATAATCGCACTGACAGGCAATAAACCGACCGAGTGTTTCAAGGGACCCGAATTAATTAGCACTATTGGCAAGTTTATCCAAATAACGGGTCGCTTGGGGGCTCCATAGGGCTGAGGGGCACCAGGGAACGGACATGGCCGTTTGTCGCAACGGTTCAGGGTGTCCCGACTATTACTTATTATTTCGTGTTTTATCTTCTCAGCTGAACTAAGACATATAGATGCAGTAATATACAGCAGTGCCAGCAATAATAACACGACAGCACAATAATAATATGAAGTGCTACTAACAATCCCCTGTGTGCCCAACCCCCGAGGACGCCACGTGATCGGCGCCACAGCATCAAAGCTTCTCAGGATTATCTCCACGAATTTCCTTGCCGACGTCGAGTGACCCCAGTCATCAAAGGCATTCTTAGAAAGAAGGAAAAGGAAAACGCCTTGTGTTTCGCGGCTGCGCGCACAGCCTGGAATACAGTCGTTTTGTGAATTATCTGGATTATCTTACTGTTATCTGTGTGGTATGTTTGCTTGTCCCCATTTCTTCTTGACCCCGATCCGCCGGCAGTGCACACTAGCCTGGGGAGCTGTTCCTAGTCGGTTCCTTCTCCTATCTCTTGCTGGACCCGCCCCTGATGATTGATTGCCTGGAAATGTTCGTCATAAATTATTTGTCTCATTTTCATTCCTGCTTACTATATTTCGGATCGTAGGCAATTTCTCGTTAAAATCACCCGCGGCCTCATCGGTCACCCCGAATCGCCCGACGCCCAGTTCCATCGATTTCGCGAACCCCATCGATTACGCAGCGCGCTCAGTAACAGAGAAATCTTAAGACTCTCCGTCGTCGATTATTGCTTCGTACGGATACGTCGTCCGTCCGAGGATCGTCCAAGTGCCCCGGGCTTGCTCGCGCGATCATGTGCGATTGTTACCGTCCGGTGTCAGTTGTCGCTTAAACTACGGAGATAATAGCTAGGCTACGAGCATTACTTAGAAGGAAGGAAAATCCCTCGCGGACGGCGCATATGGGCTCGATTGCGTGGAATTCTGGTTCCCCGAGAATGTTGTGATACTTTTCATCCTCTTGCGATCGTGACTGAGAAAAGGAATACTCTTTTGAGATTCTGAGAGGGAAGGCCGACAGATACCATTTGGGGGCAACAAGAAGTACTCGAACACGGAAAAAGCTGAGCTGGATCATATCGCAACCATGGACGGCCAGCGACAACAATACGTCCCTCTTCCCCCGCCCCCATCAATGCAGAACTCGCAGTCGCACATCATAACGTCCTTACCCCCGCCGCCGCCTCGACATCCGCCGACGCAGACGCAAGGGGTTGTCCTCCCGCCACCTCCTGGACCTCCTCCAAATGCAGCAGCTTATGCGAAAATACCCCAACAGCATGGTGGTCTGGCATGGCAGCAAGCCTGGGCACGACAGCCTGTCCCGCAGACCTTCCCACCACCTCCGCCTCCTCTGATCCCGGCAAACCCGACACAGAATCAACATCTCGCATATAAACGCCAGCCAGCTGCCCTGTCGATACCACCTCCCCCTCCTCCAGGTGACGGCCAACCCCTAACATCCGCGACCTATATTCCGATGGGTGATTCATTTGGACCCGGTGTCGGGATACCTCCATATGCAGATTCATACTCTCGCCCTACATATGACAGCTATGGACAAACAGCGGCAAATCAACCATACGAGTCTGTCAATGCGGATCCGTCGTCCAAAAGGGACGCGCATGCCCCGGCTACACCATTGAGTCGCAATGGGCCCTCGTCTCTAGGCCTGCCTGAAAACGTTCTTTCCCCTGGTCAATCAAGCAGTGCGAATCGGACCATCGATTTATCGAAATCTCCAAGTCACCGCCACAACAATAGTAGTGCATCGCTTGGGGGTATGTCGCCAAACGAAGCCTCTACCCAATGGCCGCTTGAGCGAGTGCTCCTATGGCTCGCGAAGAATGGGTTTTCCAAAGACTGGCAGGAGACATTTAGAGCCTTGGAGCTCCAGGGCGCTGATTTTATCGAGTTAGGCTATGGGTCAAATGGTTTTGGCAACTTTGGAAAGATGCACAAGGTCGTCTATCCTCAGTTAGCAAAAGAGTGTGAGAAAAGCGGAACAGGCTGGGATTCGAGCCGCGAACGAGAAGAAGGAAAGAAAATGCGCAGGTTGATCCGCCAAATCCATGACCAAGGCCACCACGACGCGGGATCTCTTACGCCGAGACGACAGGAGCCTCACTCAGCGGTGGATAATTCGCCTCGACTTGAGCCTGCTTTCCCCACCCATAGTGCAGTCGAGAGCAGTCCCGGTCTTAGAGCGCCCCATAACCACCGGCAAAATCCGCAAATGCGCTCTGTCACGATGCCTAACTACCCCTCCATTCATGACACTCCTGCTCTAGATCCGACTCCGCCCGAGACTAATACCTGGGTCCCAGCAGAACATCATAGGAATTTGCTGTCTGCCGTTAGTGACAACCATCGAAGACAACGGTCTAACGATAGTGGCCATCTTCCGTTATCTGCTCGGCCGCATGAAGACAGTCCCAAGAGTGGTAGTCCGGCAACACAGCCTGCCACGCTTGCGAATCATGGGCTGTCATCGTCATCTACTAGCGATTTGAGCGTGAGATTCGAACACTCTCGAGGCAATAGTTCTGATTCGACCCGGGCCCGATACTACGAGCGCAAGCAAGACCAGGAAGGCGCTCGTCCCTCGCCACAAGATCCGTACAACCGCCATTGGAACAGTGGAGAGACTTTGCACAGAGAGCAAAACAAACTACTGAAATTCTTCAAGAAGAAGGCTAGGCCTAATGACTCCAGTCACCCATCCCCCGAAGAACTTCATTTAGAGTCCCCTACGAGTCCGGTGCACACGCGTGGAACATACACCCCATACGGCTATCCGAACTATAGCCGTAGCGATGTGTCTGTAGGAGGGCGCCCATTGTCGGGCTCACAATCGGATTTCGAGCGATTACCAGTACGAGCCAAGCCAGCACAAAAGGGCAAAAAGTTCGTTTTCGTGACCATGGATGGGTGGAACTACCGTCTGGTAGACATCACTGACATAGATTCTGTGGGGACGATTCGTTCTGCAATTTGCCAAAACCTTGGAATCTCCGATTGGGCCAGTGCCCAGATATTCTTGACCGAACCCGGGCAGACAGAGCACGACGATCCCTTGGATGATTCCCTGTTGACTGTGACACAACGGACCAAATCGGATCCATTTGGCTCTCTGAAGTTTTTCGTGCGCGGAATTCACCCTTATCCCGGGACAAACAATGCTGCACACTTTACTGGTCTTGGAGTATCGTTCCCGGAAAAAGCGGCGGCGTCACCCACAACGGGACCGCATCATGTACATCGGAAACCCCTGGACGAGGAAGCTCTCAGCAGGATTTCACCACACCATCAACCCCTTCAGCAAACAAGAAGTCCGGCCACGAAGCTTCCTGCTCGTGACATTTCGCAGCCTTTCGTTGGAGTCTCACCAGCAGCCGATGGCAGCGCAGAATCTATAGGAACCCACCTTGATCCGGAGAAAGCAGCTTTGCTTGCGCGTCAGGAGGAACATAGTCGTGAAATCGAGCGGAAACAGAAAGCAAACAACATCACCAGGGGTCCTCCCTTGACACAGCAAAGGAAAGATGCTGTCTACGGTGAAACTGGCTACAGACGAGAGGGTGTCATAGACTTCGACTCTCCACGAATCTCGCCATATGAAGATAAGAAAGCCGAACACTTGGTGCCTCACCGAAAGCCTCCTACCGCACCAAATGAATCTAACACTCTCACGAAGGTCAACTCGCTGCGGAAGAAAGATTCTGATCGCCCACGGCTCCAACAAGCGCCTCAGCCTCAGCCTCCTCAAACTCATGGTCTCGGCGCAGCTCTTGCCAGTATGGGTAGATTGACAAGTGCAATCGGAACGCCTTCGACTAACCCGGCTGATCATAAGGCGTCAAAGGACACGCCAGGTATGTTACTCTTTCGCTCTGCTTCGTCTCTCTCTCTCTTTTTTATTTTTATTTTTATTTTATTTTATTTTATTTTTTTATCTTCATCTAACAAGTCATTCCAGATGAACTGAAAGCTGCGCCTGCGACATGGAACGACACCCCGAAAACTCCAGTGGCCACTGAGAAATCTCCCATTTCAGCTACCTCACCTGTACCAAAACCAGCTTTACAATCTCGCAAATCCTACGGTCCTGAATTTGATTTCGAGGAGGCAGACGTTTCATTCCAGCGAACTCCAGATCTACAGGAGGATGATTCTGATGATGATGATGATGATGATGATGACTCTGACGATGGTCTCTTTGCCGTACCGATAGCGAACCAGAGCCAGGAGAAGGGTCAAGGGTCCGCAACCGCATCTCCGGAAGCACAGAAAGCCGCAAGGCCATCACTTACTTTGGACACGGAACCAAGGGCAAGTAAAGGACGGTCCGTGACCTTCAAGACGCCAAGTACCTCTGGTGAAAGCTTTGTCAATGGTGGCGGTGACAACCGCGATGTGCCGGCGCCGGCGCCTTTCGGAGCGGCCGAATCACCAGAAGATGAAAGACCGCCTCGAAGAGATTCGTTTGCACGGGGCGATATCTGGGCCAGCAGACCCCCAGTTGAAGGCGTCATCGACAACCTGGACGACTTCTTCCCGAACGTTGACCTCGATGCGCCTTACTTGGAAGGACAAGGAGGCTCGCCACCCACCTCGCCAGCGAGCAAGAACCCAGCGGACGTCGATTCGCACCGCACACAACGACAGGATGGCTATGTTCCCGCAAGCTCATTCAACCATGATGGCGAGCCAACGATAAAAGCGCAAGATCAGGGCGTCGTTGCCAGACGCAATGTCAACCGCTCTGGCGGACTCACGAGAATGAAGTCAATTCGTGAAGTCGCGAGGGGAGCCAATCAAACCAGCAGAAGTCGGAGTGTCGCTCATTCTGGTCCTCAGAAGTCAGGCGACATACTTCGTCGCAAGAGTACCAAGATGTTTGGCGCGAAGATCATGCAAATCAGCCCAAGACCCGGTCGACGGTTGAACCAACTTGACCCCATCCCGCAAAACAAGCCTGCTCAAGAACCCGTGCCTCAGAGACAACCAACCTTCCGTATCATCCGTGGTCAGCTTATTGGCAAGGGAACGTTTGGACGGGTGTATCTGGGCATGAACGCCGACAATGGTGAAGTCTTGGCTGTCAAACAAGTGGACATCAACCCTAGAATTGCCGGACAAGACAGGGATCGAGTCAAGGACATGGTTTCCGCTCTGAACCAAGAAATCGACACGATGCAGCACCTTGAGCACCCGAACATTGTGCAGTATTTGGGATGTGAGCGAGGTGAACTTTCCATCTCTATTTACCTCGAGTATATCTCTGGTGGTTCGGTCGGTAGCTGTCTCCGCAAACACGGCAAGTTCGAGGAGAGTGTCGTGCAATCCCTCACGCGCCAAACACTCGATGGATTGGCATACCTGCACCACCAAGGAATCCTGCACCGCGACCTGAAAGCAGACAACATCCTTCTCGATCTTGACGGCAGTTGCAGAATCTCGGACTTCGGTATCTCCAAAAAGACTGACGACATCTACGGAAACGATTCGACCAACTCGATGCAAGGTTCCGTGTTCTGGATGGCTCCTGAGGTCATCCAATCGCAGGGCCAGGGCTACAGTGCCAAGGTTGATATATGGTCCCTTGGATGTGTGGTCCTTGAGATGTTCGCCGGCCGTCGTCCATGGAGCAGAGAGGAGGCTATTGGTGCTATCTTCAAGCTCGGAAGTCTGAACCAGGCTCCTCCGATTCCCGAGGACGTTTCCATGAACATCAGCCCAGCGGCTCTGGCTTTCATGTACGACTGCTTCACTGTGTAAGTTCATTCTTCCCTCCTTCTACTCCTTCGTTCTCGAGCTAATCGATTTCTAGTGATTCGTCTGACCGTCCAACCGCCGAGACCCTCCTGACTCACCCGTTCTGTGCACCCGATTCTAAATACAACTTCCTCGACACCGAACTCTACGCCAAAATCCGCCATGTTCTCTAATGACCTTACTTCTGTGAACTGTCTATAAACCAAAAACACGCCAAGGCGTATATATGTGTTTTGTTGGCTTCTCTTGTAATTTTTTTCGGTCCTGTTTTTCTTTTCTGTTTCTGCATCATACCCATTCCTGTCAAAAGTGTGTTGTTATTGCATATTTTTGTCGATTGCATGTTCGTGTTGTACCTCGCATAATTTGGATAAAGGACTGGAACTGGAAGTGAAGACCTGATACATTTCTTTGGTTTTCGCCTCTGTTTTTGACGATATCCTATTTATTATTGACTGTCTTTCTTCTCACTTCTTGTTGAGTTGGAGTGTTTTATTACCCTTTGTTAATGCGGTCTTCTTTCATGAAATGAAATGAGTGATTCGATGAGTAGACTCGGTGTTTATGATATATACAAGTCTTTTTACCAGGTAATACATGATTCCGACAGAAAAATAGCTTTATAACACAATCTCAGAAACATCAACATAAGAACTGAATTCTTCGACCCAAATTTCTCCTCCAAACTGCTCAGTTCATCAAGCAACTCATCTTGCATCTCACGAAGCAAAGCAAGCGTGGATTCCAGCGCTCCCATTTCCCGCATATGCGTTAATATCCACTCTTTCATTTCCAGAGCAAGTCCCTCGCCTGTGGCTTTATTCTAGAAGACGCCTCGGATCGCAGCTTGATGGGCACCGGGCTTCTGGAGAGTGTACATCAAAGGCAGGGAGATTTTGCCTTCGTCAAGGTCTTCGCAGAAGCCTTTCGTTTTGGTGTACTGTTACTGTTAGATAACTGCATGTGCATATATATAGATGATGTGGGTTGGATTGACGTACCTCATCTGCAGTGAGATTCTGGTAATCATCTCGAATTTGGAAGTACCGACCGAGGAGAGTCACGAATCGGCGGGGGTTGATGTTTTCGACTTTCCACGGTTAGAAGGGATCGTTGTAGATAATGCAGACATGCGTACCATGAGACAGAGGATTCAGCTTGCATCAGTCGAACGCATAGTCTAAACAGAGTTCCGGTTTCTGAAGTACGTTAAAGCATGCAATAAATGTATACAATGAAACAACGTACTATTATCAATCATCATCATATCGTCGACCGTTGGGCAGTGAGTGTGATATTTCCAATGCAAATCGAAAGCTTGTCCACATTGTCCATTCTGCAATTCGTCTGCGAAATAATCAGCACGCATTTCAGCAATGTAACCTTGGTAAACTCACCAACGAAAATGGTCAGAGTATGAACTGGGAAGCCATTAAGCATGCCGATAATCCCCTTGATCGACGACAAGGTTAGCTGTGGGATGTTGAGCCGCCAATTTAGAGCGTCGATGAACATATCTCTGATTTTCTATAACGAACAGCTGGGTTTGGCTCTATCAGAGCATCTGGAGCGATATCGACAGTCTCATACTTGAAGGCCCCATCAACCAGGACACATTCCGTCTGATTGAGATCAGCTTTGGTTGGATAGCGGGGAACGTAGATACTCCAAAATTCTGACTCCGAAGTCGTATACTGTGCTGTCATGATATACTTGCGGTAAGTGTCTGAAAGCTCTCCTTCTCCTTGCTCGAGCTTCTTAACAAGGGAAAGGTGTTTCTCCTGCATTTCAGTATATTCCCAATGCAGCTTGGCGAGTGCCTCCAGCTCGGAGCAAGTATACTGTCGCATCAGGATGGATACAGCATTAAACGGAGCCTCAGAACCTTCTGTTTCAATGTGGTACTTAATTTCCTTAGTCCAGCTATGGTAGTCATTGATCAGAGCAGCCGCATATAGCGCCAGATTGATGATCTCGGAAAACTTTGCTTTCTCCTCTTTTTTTAGACGAATTCCAAGTCCGAAGCATGCCATTTCTTGAAATACGCTATACCTTGTCGGCCTACAAATGATGTGAAAGGCTTTTGTTCAAGGGGCTTACCAAAGACCACTGTTGATGAGACGAATGGGTAGATACTCCTCCAATGTCTGTACTCCAGATGGAGGGAAGGTGGCCATCTCCAAATCTTCACCGTACGTGGTCATGACATCCATGGCTAAATCCCGATCTAACTCTAGCATTTCGACAAAAATTCCGGCTTGGAATTGCTTGGTCCTGATGGGTGATGCACCCTTGCCATGGAGGTCGTCATGCAAGTTCCTAACGGAAGCCTGGAGCTGTGCGTTGAACGATGTCACCTTCTCAATCTCCGCAGTGTCATAGTAGTCTATAACTAATTAGCATAGAGGAGATACTCGCTCAAGGTGTATAAATACCATCGTGTGCATGGACGGCCGTGGGGAAGCTAGTCAAGGTGCCCGATTGTCTAACGACGTCTTCAAAAACTGGAATTGCAAATGATGGCATAGCTAACCCAAGATATTTTGGTGTAAGTCGAATTTGAGATTGAGCTCTCAAGAGGGAGAAAGGAGAAGAGGAAGAAAGCAGAAGAAAAAGGAGTCAATCGCGTGCTTATCACCGGACAGAACGAATCGTTGGGCAGTCATGGTTGAGAAGAATCAATCGAAAACCCACGTGTTCATTGTCCAGTGGCAACTATGGAGAGATTCTCAGCTTCTTCATTGTCCATGAAATTGGGGGGAGCCTCAGCTCTGGGCCTCAGCTTTAGATATGCCGGCCCGATCCACACGGCCGTCCAAGCTAATTGGACCCAGCTTCCAACCCATTGTGACGGCTGAGAGATCTTCATACTCAAGGATCCAGCAAATGGCGCAGTGCTTGTGTGATGATAGAGCCCCTAGATGCACTGCTTGTCAGCACAGAGGCTATTCTTAGACCCCTGTGGAGTTGTCAAATTCTAGGTTAGAGGGGCATATCGGACCACCGATGAAGGGGACAACTTGTCTAGGCTCTTTGGGTAGATGCAGAGAATAGAATACCACCGTGGTGGAAAACGACTCGGTCAAGCCATGGCCGTATTGAAAGGGTTGAAGAATGTTCCTTGTTGCTTCAACCTAGAATTGTATGCATAGGCGTCCACGTGACAGCAAGAGTTGCATAAGAACAGCCACATGAAGTTTATTGAGCAACCTTCTTCCAGAGAAGTAAGTTACGGTCACTCTAGAAAGTATTATGGGTACAAGTATGAGAAGATGGGACAAAAAAAGAGTCGATGACTACCAACATGCCCTGAGCAACCTGTATTAGACTAGATAAAGTCAACTATAATAAGAGAAAAGTGGTTACATAGTACAGAATGCGCCCGGAACTATATATTTGTCTCGCGATGCCCCTTCACGATACCTTCTGCTTTGAATCAGCATCTGTAGGAGCGCCGTCCTGCTTTTTGGATTCAACTCCTCCGACAAATAGCTCACCAATCATCTCCAAAGCAGCAACAAAGACACATAGCAAGGAAGCCAGGACAAATACTGTGATACTCTCCAATCTCGAGCCAGGAGCCTTCATCTTTGACAGCCCAAAAGAAGCGAAGCGTCAAATAGTCGCTCATGCCCATGACAAGCGTGAAGAGAGCCCCAGCGCGGAGACGTAGCTTCTTGGTCAGAATTCCCAAATTGGCTGACACGAGGGCAAAAGGCGCAAGGATTTTCAAGATCAGTAATGCTGATTGGCTGAATGGATCAAATACGGGGATCAAGCGGAGCACGGCATCGAGGGAAAACGATGAGATGGAGGCAATGTTTCCGGTATTGAAAAAGGCGGAGTGTAGTAGAAAAAGGAAGAATAGAGCAATTCTTGCATCGGAGAATGTGAGAGATCTGTTCTTATCGCCATCATGGGCTATTTTCTTCTCGGGAGTAATATCAGAGTGAAATCGGTGGATTCGATACTCAATTTGCACCCATGTAAACAGCGTACAACTGATGAAGACGTAGAAGAGCCCTTCGTATGAGATGGTGAGTATAATGAACATCGGGGCAAAGGCGAAAAACACAATTGCCAAACGACGAGAGTAGTTACTGTCTCCTGGCTGAAGACAGTGCAACAACGGCAAGATGAAGGAGGTCACTGCCAGTGTCAGTCGTTTCCGTAAACGAGACAAAAGAAATTCAGCAATTACCAAGTATTGCCCATCCGGCCATCTGCGTCCCGAACGGAAGCCCTGTTTTGGATTGCAACGATGTCACTGCGGAGCGCGTAACAAGTATGGCCAAGGGCAGTAATCCAATCTAGCGGGTAGAGTTAGTATCATAGAGTGATATCGCGTCTAAAAATCGCACCTGAAATGTCAATATAGTCCTTGAGATCCGATTAGGCGCCGGTGCATCGACGATCGTCGTCTCAAATGCACTATAACAAGCCCCTAACACAAACATAATAAGTTCTCCAATTGTGCTGCCATGTCTGTCAGTTTGATAATATTTTATTGACATGCAAAAGTTGACGTACATCAAATTGATATCTTCCGTTTTCATTGCAGGGAGAAACGTGAATATGCTCATCGCAGCGCATAGCAGTGCCCATCTCAAGCATATGATCCAGTTTGCTCGAAAGAATTCAAAGCCATATAGCACAGGCCAGTATATAGCAAGTACGTAAGCGAGCGTATAAAATTTCCGATAAAAGTAACTTTGGACCTAGTCAATGTGAGTCCATGTAAACTGGGATATTAGTAGCTGTGATGAACTTACAATTACCTCCAGCAGTACGCCAAATGCCATCACACTAAGGCCCCTTTCTACCAGCTCATTGGCCGATACCTGTTTCAAAGTGACTTTGGTGATACTAATCCATGTCTCCCGGCGTGCCAGGACCTCCTCCCAAAATAGAACTGGGAATATGGAGTACGCATAATGCTGGTAAGGGGAATTTTGCATATAAAGCGCTGCGAAAAGCGCAGCAAGGACTGAACCTAAGACAAACTTGCTTGCAACCGAGCGGCGAGCTTCTGTTTTCCCGTTCAGAACATACTGATCGAGTGCTGCGGTGAGTGAGAACGCAATCCATCCCAAATAGCCGGCAGTTATAAGAGCTCGAAGAGCCAGTCATATGTTTGTAGGTAGCGAAGTCCCTCTAAGCCAAGTTGCATCAAATTGTCACAATCCCTGATTGCCTGCTTTAATTCACCTCTATCGATGGTTTTCCGGATATGCCCAAGCATCTGGTGGGTTGAATGGTCGTAGGGGAGCCCGTTAAACGGCCTGAACCATACTTTGGTGGTCTTCTTTTGGTTTTCTTTAACTCGATATATTTCCAATATCTCCTGGGAATTGACGAGCATTGCCTCTGCTTTGATAGAGTCGTCTGTATTGATATAGGCCAAGGGAAGCCTACCAACCGAATTGACCGGGAAATCGATGCCTGCGAGGTATGCCATCAGGACAGCAATGTCTGCTTGCGCAACGTCATTCCTTTGGATATGATTCAGGTCCCAGTCGGCAGAGAAGTAATCGTGCCCACCAGCGTTGCCCGTGGTCGACTTTCTGGGGGAGACAATTCCGGAGCCCCATGCAATGAGTGGTGTCCTTGTGTTATCTGGATGCCCGTCTCCATGGCTACCCCAATCACTCATACCGTGATCTTCTGTGAAGACAAACGCAGTCTTGTCATCTCCGAAGAATGTTTCCATGAGCCCGGCTATTTCACGAACTCCCTCATCCACGACTTGGATATTGTGCAGATACTCCCGAGAGTATGGCCGGTAGGAGTGGCCAGAGGTATCCAGGCCAAGCAAGTGTAGGAAGAAGACGTTTTGATCTTGTCTGAGCTCTCGCTCCAACTCTCCATCATTCTCTGCGCTGTTGAACAAAAGTTTCACCCGGTCGAAGACCCAGGTGTCCAACTCCGTAGCATCCTTGCTATAATCCTCGGCTTCTGCACTATACATATAAGTATTCACTCGACCTGGTACAGCTCCTTCGGCAAACATGGGGAGGATATCAGGACTGCCCCAGCTCCACGTATGGCGGCTCCGATTCAACACGCTGTCAAACATAACTGGATTCAGCTTCCAGCCAGTTGTGACGGATGAGACGTCTTCATAAAGGCCTGCCAAGAGAGCAACATGGCCTGGGCGGGATTCTGTAGGCACACGAGTATGAGATACCCCAAAAGTGCCATGGTTGAGGACCCGGGATCGAAGAAAAGGAACTAAATGGCGTGGTACTTGTGCAGCAGGGGAGTCACTGGATGCGTTGGGCGACGGATCAGGGAACTTTTGAAAGGCCTTGTCTGCGCGGAGGCCATCGGCTGGAATCGACAGGCGGTCTTAGCCAATTGCTGCGTTTCTTCGAGCATAGGAGGTGCATACCGACGAAAAGGACAACTCGTTTAGCTGGAGGCTCTGGAGTTTCGACGCGGTACGCATTCATGCCATTGACAACAGGACTGACAAAATAGGTATCAAAAATCGAGCAGATGTACTCTAGGTGGAATACCACTGCGACACCCAGAAATTGCAGGCGGCTCAATCGAGTCATGGCTTTGATTCAATTAGTAGAATGCTACTTGGTAAATACCTGGGTCTATTTTTCGAATTAATATCCCCCTGCAGGTTGACCACGTGGCATCGACAAGGATTCTTTTCTTTGTTCGTAGAATCGTATTGCCTGTCACTGCGCCACAACCCAGGGCAGCCACATGATGTTCAATATGTACAAATATAGAAGTGACAGAAGCTGGTCACTACCGACGCAGCGACCCTATACTACCACTTCTGCTAACACTCATGCTCAAACTCCTACTGCTCATGGCTTCGTCGTCATCACCCAAATCTCCGGGGCGAATACCGGTGACACCAACCCTAAAGATGCCTTCACACCACTCTGCAAAAGTATCTACATCCCATACCGCATCCTCGCGGCCCTTGCCCTTCTTACTGACAGTGTTACCCTTCCGCTTCTCAGAGGACGTGTACATGTCAAAGAAATCCTCGTATATCTGGATGACCCGGTCCTGCACGGCACCGACGAGTGTCTCTTTCATACGGGTATCGTCAAGGTAGTCGTCGAGGATCTTGCGGAGACCCGGTATTTCATTTTCGACATTCCGGCAGGTGGGGTAGATCAGTTCTCCGCGCTGGAGGCTCTGCGTGTCGACGAATTTCGAGGGAAGGGACGAGGTCATCTTGTCTGAGAAGCCGTTGATGAAGTCATTAATGACTGTGCGGAGTCGGCCATCGAGTTCAACTTTGGCGTCGAGCATGTTTTCGACTACTCGTGGTAACAGGCCGTGGCCGACGAGGCGCATTAAGTTGCCTGGGTTGAAGAGACCACCACGTTCGCGGAGTTCCCAGAATGTGCTGGTGATGCCAGAGAAATCGAAGGAGACTTCTGGAGCAACGTATTCGATGTCGAACGCGACGATTTGCTGTTTTAGAATGAGCAGATGGCTCATTAGGAAGAGCTGTCCGTCTGCGAGTGACTTGTTCGACACTTGAATGCTTGCTTGGTGGAGGGATAAGTTGGTTTGGTGCACGATTTGATGCGCTAAATCATCAAACACGGTAGACTGTTTGAGGGATTAGCTTTGAGCCAGCTAGAGGAAGAAGATTTTGTTTGGAAAGACCTGCATACATTGACCAGTCGATATATCCTGCTCAGGAGCCAAATGGCTTTCCGTAATGTCGGATACCACCCACTTAAAACAGCTTGCGATTCATCAAAGTCCCACTTCGAATCCTGATCTGGCGAATCGCCGCCATCTTCTTGCTTTGTTGGTTTAGACAAGCTCACCACCGCATCAGCAGGCACCATCTTCTTGCCCGAAATCTGGCTTTCTGTCACCGATATTGAAGCCCCACGATTGTGTGTAGGGTAGTCGAGATCACCCGGACGAGGCTTATATCGCTCAATTTCATCGTGGAGGAACGCTTGTGAGCGGAAGACAAGACGAGTCTGTACATCTTCCAGGGCGGGCTGTATTAAAACAGAGAAGTCAAGTTGGTTGGCGTCTACTTGTTCGGTTTCGTCGTCTGGATCGAGAAGGTAGCGAGTTTGCAGTAATGTACACAGTTGACAAAGCTTGATAATTTTGTCTTCACGAATAATTCTTGGCCCGAGGTGATCGTAGAGAGGCTCACAAACGGTTTCCAAAAAGTCATATAGGCCTCCCTGACCATGAAACCATTCGCTCCAGAGTTCGAACTCGTCCAAACATACGCCACGGATATAGCTGATACTACCCCGAGCGAAGGCGACCAGATCTTCCGATGTGCTTGGCGCGAGCGCAATGTCGTTGAGCTTTTTGCGGACCAATGGTATAATCAATTTACCTCGGGTTGCAGAAAAATTAGAGTGAAGCTCGTTCAGAAGACTTTGGTATTCAGCTTCGTTGCCTTGGTCGGGATCGAGTGGAGGCACGGCTCTCTTCTGGATTTCGAGACCAATTTGCTTTAGTTCAGGTGCACCGACTTTGAATTTCGCGTACAGGAGAGCGGACGTGGTGGTGTCGTTTAGTTGCTGGTCTGATATTTTCTTCGAGACGTCGACATGGATATCGCGCAATGCAGAAACGAAATGACCCCGGATGAGAGTAAGAGCACGGGTTAGAAGGAGCCGGTACCTTGACCGGTATACTTCGGCTTCTTTTTGCCCAGGCTAGAGAGGAATTAGCCAACCGGTTCAGTATAACAACGCGCATCATGTAGGAACAGGGGTCTAACATGTGTTTCCATGTAGTCCAAGCATTCATCCAAGCGCCTAAGCATATCTGAGAAATCCTCCCCACGAACGGTGTTCCCAGCCCCTGGGGCATTAAGCCTTCTGGAAGCAGGATCCAGTAAGTCATAATACTGCAGATTTCCTTCGATATCGGCCGCTAATTTCAGGTCGCGTCTTTGTGCGGACAGCAGACCCTCGCACTTCTTCTGGAAACTGGACGTTTGCGATTCGACTGCCTTGAAGGATTCCGATATGCTGCTCAGGAGGTTGAGGGTAGACGAGGTATCGGATAGGAGGGCATCCAAGTGCGATTTTGAGGTTTGCAGCTCATCGAGGCACGACCTAGATACATCAAAGAGAGCTAGTCAGTTTTGAGGATACCGGGCATAGTAAGGCCATTCCGCAATTGCTCCTGCTTACTGGTATTCATCGTAGCTGGCTTCCAGCAATTCATCCTCGACCCCGCCATACCACTGGAGGAATTCCAGCTCATTCTGAAGCTCTTCAATTGACTTAGAGTCCTCCGGTAACGTTCCAAATTTTTCGATATCATTTGACTTGGGCTCTGGCGGCGGGCCGGAGGAAACGGTTTGCCGGCGACTTCGTTGTCCCACGGTTTCGGGACGCATCGTGAGGCCGCAACTTAAAGAGCAAAATGGCAGTGGGCGCTTGTCCTCTGGGGGCTCCTGTCTCTATACAGCCGATATAAAGTGACGCCAGTTAGCAGCCCGTCAACCCAGCGCACAAGCCCGAGCAGATCGTGTCATTCTTGGCTCGTCTTTCTCCTGAATTGACCGTCGTGGCCGTTCGAGATGCGATATTCTGCCACTCCATTCCGCCTTCAATTACTGACGCAAGAGCTCTTGGGAAGCTTGATACACTTTGGTCCTTTTAAAGGCAAAGAAATTGATTGTTATGTGCATTTCCCCAGTTCTCTGCTAACTGCATAATGTGGACCAACCGGGTACGACAACCTACGACGAATATTCTTACTCTTTCTCGCCTTCCTAGAGCTCGCCGGCCTTCGGTTTCATCATGTCGTTATGCAAGCACTAACCAAGGCGAATCAAATAACTCCAACTGGTTCCGAAACTCGCTAGGATTTGCGGGGGCTGGTACTGCTGCGTTCCTAGTTTATACATATGCTACCACTGATAGCGGCAAAATCGGGGAAGAGGCAAAAGCGAAAGGCCTTCCGAAGATCAAGGAAAATCTAGGGACTCAGTTTGTCCACAAGAAGAGAAGCCTGAGAAGCCCTGGTGTTTACCTCTGGGGTACCAATGCCTACCGTGTTGTGGACCCGGACTCCAAGGAGTCCGTCATCAAGACCCCTCGGGGTCTCAGTTATTTTGATGGACAAGTGCTTCGAGATCTCAAACTCGAAGAGAAATCCGGTGCTGCGATTAGTGATAAGGGCGACCTGATCCAGTGGGGTAAGGGCTTCTCGGAGTCTGACTTCAAGCCTACGGAAACTCTGACCGGGAAGAACCTGACCTCATTGTGCATGTCTAACGACCGAATTCTTGCACTATCATCGGATGGAAAGGTCTACTCGCTACCTATCTCCAAGGAAGATCAGCAGTCTGGTCGAAAGCCTAAGGAGAGCTCGTGGGTTATGCCGTTCTTATCAGGCGAAGCCGGTGTCAGTTACCGTCAACTCCAACCTAATTTGGGAATGACCGAGAAGGTTACCGCTATCAGTGGTGGATCGGAGCATGCTCTGCTTCTCACTAGCTCGGGCCGCGTATTCTCCGTTGCATCGTCGACGGAGAGCTACCCTACTTTTGGGCAACTTGGTATTCCAGGGCTTACTTGGCCCACCCGGCCAAGTGGACCGGTAGACGCCTGCCATGAGATCACGGCGCTCAAGGGCACTAAAATCACGCAGGTAGCCACTGGTGACTACCATTCTCTGGCCCTCAGCAAGGATGGCCAGGTATTTGCTTTTGGGGATAACTCCCTTGGACAGCTGGGCATGGATTATGACGCCTCGTCACCGTTCATTGATGCCCCCGTTTTGCTGACCATCTCGAAGCTGTACCGGGTTAATGAATGGGCTCCCACGGTAACCCAAATTGCCGCTGGTGGCGCCAACAGCTTCTTTACAGTGGATGCGCAGCGTGTTCTGGGTCGCAAAGAGGACGCTTCCACGGTCCGCGATCTGGGCCATATCACAGCCGATACCTGGACTTGTGGACGAGGAATTTGGGGACTTCTCGGTAACGGAAAATGGACTCATCTACAAGATGAGCCTACCAAGGTGAAAGCACTGAGTGGCCTGTCCGAGTTCGACGAAAGCACACAAAAGGTCTCTCCTATCCGGCTACGTGATATCTCTGTTGGCACGACACACGCAGCGGTGGTAATGGGCAACAACACCCATATCCATTCCGCATCTACCAAGGCTCTGGAGACGAACGAGGATTGGGGGTATGATGCACTTTGGTGGGGAGGAAATGAACACTACCAATTGGGAACTGGCAAGCGGAGCAATTTGGCGCGGCCAACATATATCAATGCCCCTCCAGCGCCTGGGGACAAGGACAAGGGAGAAGCACGGCTGCAGATCATGCCTCGTCACAAGGGCAAGGCTGGCAAACGGACCGTGAACATGGAGCAGCGGGTCGAGTGCGGACGACACGTTTCTGGTCTTTACTCTGCTGTCTAAAATTTTTGGATGTATTATTATGAGCAACTGTTCAAAATAAAACTGTATTATTAGCAGCCAACACCACGAATGTACTCTAGATTGATTGAATGCAAACAAATCAAACAATCACTCCGCGGAAGACGCTTGGACCACCGCTTATCAAAAAAGAAAAAAAGCGAAAAGAACGATTGCAACCCTCGGAACTCACCACTCGCAACACATAACCATCACCCATAATGCCTCGCGAAAAGCAAAAGAGAGGTCGTCGCGCGGAGGAGAAATCCCAGAAGGATGCCTCGAAACGAAAGCGCGACGAAGCGCCCGAAGACTCCGCGCCGAAACGTTTGAAATCCGGCGATGAGGTCGAAGATGCGCCCATGCAAGAAGCACCTGATTATATTCCCCTAGACGAAAACTACGATCAGGAGCAACAACCCAACAGTGATATGCCCTTCTATGGTCTTCTCGATACGCAAGAGCAGGAATATTTCTCGCAGGCGAACGAAATATTGGAATTGAACCAGTTCCAGGATGCGGAAGAGCGGAGGTTGTTCGTTGAGAGTGTCTATAGAGAGGCCAGGGGGAAGGAGTTGAAGCTGGCGTGCAGTCAGTCGTGCTCACGTCTCGTGGAGAAATTGATCTCTAGTTCCGATATCCGTCAGGTCCGGAGACTCTTCGACAAATTCAATGGCCATTTCCTGCATCTCGTCCAGCATCGATTCGCGAGCCACTGTTGCGAGACGTTGTTCGTCCACGCAACACCTGGTGTGACACAAAAAACTAGCAAGCCCAAGAAGAACAAGGAGGTGGATGAAATGGAGGAGGATGAGGACGAGCCACAGCGGACGCTGGCTGAGATGTTCATGGGTGTTGTTGAAGAATTGCAAGGAAACTGGGGATACCTGTTGACGGAACGATTTGCGTCGCATACTATCAGAGTGCTGCTGCTTGTCCTTGCAGGCGAACCTGTTGATGTCGCATCGAATGACTCGGTTGTCGCAAGTCGAAAGAAGGAAAAACACGGTATACCAACAGCGACTGAGACGCAGGATGAGAGCACCATTACGCAGAAGCGAAACGTCCCCGAATCGTTCGAAGAGACATTGAAGAAGATCATGAAGGATATGGTGTCTGTGCTTGATGATACATATCTTCGCGCATTGGCCACCCACCCGGTTGGAAATCCTATTCTTCAGGTGTTGGTGTATCTGGAGCTGTCACATTTCGGTAAATCGAACGCTAAGGAGTCCAATTCGATTACAAGAAGATTGATTCCCGATGAGAACCTTGAGGAGGGATCGGAAAGCGCCTCGTTCGTCAGGGGCCTGCTCTACGACGCCGTTGGCTCTCGTTTGCTCGAGACCATTGTAAGGTACATGCCAGGAAAGCTATACAAGATTTTATACAAGAACGTCATTCGTGAGCGTATCGGTTCTCTTGCGCGAAATATGACTGCTGGCTACGTTGTGCTCCGGGCTTTGGAGCGGCTTGGAAAGGATGATCTCCAACAAGCCATGGAATCAATCATCCCTGAGATGCCTGGACTCATCGAGCGATCCCGACTGGTTGTTCCCAAAATGCTGATCGAACGTTGTCTGGTACGCGGAGTCAACACTGAACCCCTGGCACGCGCGTTAGAGAATTCCTATGACAAAGACCCGACTACCCGACTAAAACAGATGCTCAGACTCGAAGGCACGACACAGGAGAATGGGGAAGAAGCAGAAGAGAAACAGCAACAGCAGGGTCCTCCTCAGGCCTTTGCTGCTGAGAGGTTACATGGTTCCTTGTTTACGCAGGCAATGCTTACCGTTCCCGGTCCCCTCAGTCAATTGGTCTTCTCCAGTCTGGCCTCACTATCGCCAGAACTGATCCTTCAGATCGCAAAAGACCCTACAGCCTCTCGCGTCCTACAACAGGCACTTACGCAATCAACATCTACTCTTCAATTCCGCCGACCATTCACCACCCGCTTTTACGGGCACATGGAGGAACTCGCGCTAGACAGCAGCGGGTCTCATGTAGTCGACGCATTGTGGCAAGGCACAAAGGACCTGTTTTTCGTGAAGGAGCGCCTGGCGCAAGAACTGGCACAGCATGAAATGGCTCTTCGGGATTCTTTTGTCGGCCGAGCAGTCTGGCGCAATTGGTCCATGGACCTCTACAAGCGACGACGTGGCGAATGGACAGGCAAGGCAAAGGGACGGGACCAACAGCCTGAGGGCAACGGAAACAGCAATGGTCAAGGAGAACGGCCCAAGTCTAAACTCGAACTGGCACGGGCTCGATTTGCGGCTAAGGCTGATGAAGAGGCTAAGAGGAAAGAAGGTGGTCAGAAGTAGATATGGTTGCATTGGATTTGCGCTGCATATGTATAGACGTTGTTCCTGCATAATTGGTGTGTATATTGATCTTTTCCGGCGTTTTTGTGTAACTATAAAAGCATCGTCAACATTCCAACATCAAACCATCGTTCTTCCTTGTCAATATATTCCAATCTCTTCAACATGAAAGTAAATTTCTATCTCAAATCCCGAGGTGATGATGTCAGGTTCCCGGGGACTGTCGCCATCGCCGAAGACATCACCGAAGACGGAACCAAAAGATTCAATATCATTCTCCCATCTCTGCCCATTCCTATTTTCTTTCTCTACATATATATATATATATATATATTTCTGGTTGTTTTGCTATTCTTGCTGCTTTTACTGAGCAATTGACTCTCTTTGCCATAGATGTCAGTATCTGCTCCGTCAAGTCGCGCTGAGGAAGTGCGGGATGTGAGTCAACTTTTTTTTTTCTTGTCCTTGCGCATGTGGAAATGGACGCAGACGGTCATCGAATTGAAGCTCTTCCATATTCTCAATATCATAAATTATTATAAATAGTGCACCAGCTGACAATGGTTTTGCGCGCAGCTCCTCAACGCAGTCGAAGACCTCTTGATTCCATTCATCCAGTCCGCAGATGAGACCCCCT